CCATCCCCACTAGTAGAAATAAATGGCTTCTCTTTTGTATCAGTAGGAAGTTAATCAGTTGGCCCTTCAGCTATTCACCCTCTTTAAAGTGGTATCTGACCTTGAAGCTTAGAGGAAATCAGCTAGAGGTGAATGTAGTATTTCCTGAGGTTTCATGGACTAGCTCCCCAAGAGCCCTTTGTCCTTCCCATCTGTGGCTTTGGTTTCTGAGTGTTTGTGAAGTGTCTCAGAGAGGAGCTCCCCAGCATCTCACTTGGTTAAGAAACTAGAGTCTCCCCAGGGGGACGCCCTGGCTGTTTCCCAGCAAAATGCTCCGCCTCCCTGGACTGTGACACATAAGCTAATCAACCTCTTTATAGATTTTTTTTCCTTCTCCTTATTTTAATTCTCAGCTGGTATATCTCTAGGCCCTGGGCCTTGGGAATTGTAGAGTCATTTGTTGAATTTCTGGCAGTGTGAGAATTTCTAATAGTCGGCTTTTGGATCTCATGCATGGTGAAGTAGAGAAAATAACTGAGGAAGGAAACAAGACTTGGAAACATCCTGAAACAACAACCATGCTTCAAACAGGCAAGGCGGTGAGGCTGTGGACACTTTTCCTTTTTGCCTTGTGGGGTTTATGTTTTCCTTCTTTTTTCCCTGCATGGCAATGTAGTAAATATCTGTCTTACGGGCTGCTCAGAATACTTTGTTGTCTACTCCTTTCTGTGGTTCTACAGAACCACCTTCCTTCTTGTCCCACCTGGGGACCTAGATAACCCTGTATCCACTCTAATATGAACCCAAGGAGATGTGACAGATTTCAAACCATCGAGGGCTTAGAAAGGACAGAGCAAACTCTTGTGGTGTTTATGACTTTTCAGTGTCCTTTTAACAGAAGGACATGTCTGAAGCACTAAGCCGCAGCCCCACCTGTGGTGTCTAAAGGTACCCGCGGATGTGAGCCATGACACCTAAGGATATACAACAAAATCAGCTTTGTTCCTTTGGGCCTGTGACACAAACTATTCCTTTGCCCGTATTCAGGCTCCTCAGCTTGAATTCATCTCATCGTCTGACTTATCTGACAACTTTGTATTTCCTCTCTGCTGCTTTTGAAGAGTCAGTCGAGTGGGTAAGTGGTTAGGCTACCTGAGAACACCTTCTTTGGAAATTTGCCACTGCGAGATATTTTACAATCTGTTGATGAGCAGGTGATGTCTAGGTAGTGAATAGAAAAATAGCTAAAGCTTGTATCTGGAGCTTGCAAAACAGGGAACTTTCAAAATGATTTGTAGTTTGTTTCTGAAACTGCCTTGGCTCTACCTAAGCCAGGGAGCATTGCTTATCACCAGACAGCATTTGTCACCCGGGTTGCTTTAGAAAAATCTACTGTTTCTTCATGGAGAGTTAGGGGATAGAAGTTGAGGGATCTTTCAGGTTTATTTGAACCTGGGATTTTCCATAAACCAAAGGAGTGATTAATAGCATCTCCATCAGTATCACAGGTGTTCTTGGCCAGATGTTTCTTTCAAGAACTTCACTCCTTTATTTTCTAAATTGAATTGGCATCAAATAAAACACATTGCAACTTCAAAATCAGCTCCAGCCCCGCAGAATAAGATGTAGTTACGAACCAAAAGTAGGGGATGAGGCTGAGGTGGGACGGGTGCTGCACATTCAAAGTGATCTTTAGATACGTTAAAATGGCTTTCTCATTTTGAATCTTTGGAAAAGCCATATCATTAATCTACACACTAAATCCCTTTTCATTTTGCTTCTTAGAACACAGTTGTTAAAGCCATTACCATACTCCAAACGAGAAAGTACTTATGTTGCTTATTTGAAAACAGTGAAGAATCATAACTATTTTCCATAAATAACATTTCTGTGCTTATATTTTGCATATCACATCCTGATTCTGAAATAGAATTAAAACAATGGGTCTCTTTGGTGTGTTACCTGCCCACAAACTTTATCACAAAATGATGGATTAATGTTATAAAACTGAGATTTTCATTCAGCCCTTAAATCTTAGTTGGAAAGGGATGGATAGAGTCTTCATCCAGTAATAGAAATGTCATTCATAATAATATTGTTTGTTTTCCACCAAAAAGAGAGGCTTGTGGGTTTATTAATATCAACACAGTGTGAAGCTTCTGGGTGATGCTTGTATCTAACTTAATTTATTTTGGTACTATATATCCAGAAACTGAACTTACAGTTGCAGGGAGTCTGGGTTTATAAGAGGAAGTTGTGAGCAAATGTTAAAACCCTAAGAATTGAGTTCTCCGGTAGTCTGGGTAAAGCCTGAAATTCTGTAAATTGATTAATCACCCCTTCATCTTGCGGCAGCCTGATAGGGGAAGAGTGTGGGTGGTTTGGGGGGTCAGAAGAATTGGAGAATGGACTTGAAGAAAGTCAATTCATCTTTCAAAGACTATTTGGGGATTTTATTCTATAAAATGCCTTTAATAATGGATAGCCTACATTAAGAAGATAAGTGTTAATGAGCTACAGAATGTCTTTGTTGTGTTGTTATACAAGTGCTACAAGTTACTATCATTTCTTGCTAAAATGAACGTATCCTTATGAAAGAGGATACTTAATGTAGTTACTAGTCATTTGTATTTTGGTGTGAATTGAGGATTTAAGAGCGGATTTCTTTTTTTAAAAAGTGAAATATAAAGAGAGATTGAGATGGCTGGTTGTCTGAGCCATGTCCAGATCCTGAAAGTTATGAAACATTTCATAATTTTGCCAGTTGTGTGTTTTTATTTTTTTTTTTAATTTTTAAAATTATTATTATTTTTTGGCTGTGTTGGGTCTTCATTGCTGTGCGTGGGCTTTCTGTAGTTGCGGCAGGCAGGGGCTACTCTTCGTTGTGATGTGCACGCAGGCTTCTCATTGCGGTGGCTTGTCCTGTTGCTGAGCACGGGCTCTAGGTGTGCGGGCTTCAGTAGTTGCAGCATGCGGGCTCAGTAGTTGCAGTGCACAGGCACTAGGGTGTGCGGGCTTCAGTAGTTGTGACACACAGGCTCAGTTGTTGTGGCTCGCGGGCTCTAGAGCATGGGATCAGTAGTTGTGGCGCATGGGCTTAGTTGCTCCGCGGCATGTGGGATCTTCCCAGACCAGGGATCAAACCTGTGTCCCCTGCGTTGGCAGATGGATTCTTAACCACTGCACCACCAGGGAAGTCCCCAGTTGTGTGTTTTTAAAAAGAGGTTATTTAAACAATGGAAGGCCAGCTGGTTACATCTTTTGTTCTGTTGAATTCTCCGGAAGTACTTATTAGTAGAATAAAGACATTTCCTGCCATTTTCCAATCTTCGGTAACTAGTTTTAAACTTAATTTTATGGATTTTGTTCTTTAAGGGAGAAGGTGGCTGGATTCATTGATCAGATTTCCCTGTAGGGAGGATGGTGGAGAAGATTTGTCACTCGCCTTTACTCTAGAGTCTTGGTGGCCCTGCCAGCCTACATTTCTTCCTAGTTGTGACATTTTAGAGAATTTAAAAAAATAACTGCCCTTTGGTATCTTATATTCTTGAAATCAGATCTAAAAGAAGGAGGGTTAAAACACCTTTATGGTCCCAAGCTCGAGCTCAGGGTTGGGGTAACAGAGAAGCATGCCGAGGCTTCATGGCAGATTTTGCTTTTAGTTGATTTACCAGACAAACCAAATCCGAAGGTGGAAGAATGGAGCCTGAGTGAGGGGCCTGGAATGAGAGGCCTTCGCAGCCTCCCACAGGCTGCCAGAAGGGCTGCTCTGAAGTCCTGACTTAATATTCCCAGATACTTTCGTTAACTCAAAAAGTGAAGGAGAGTGGCTTACTTCTGCCCTGGTAAAACCATGCATTCTAAAATGTGAAATGCTTCACTACCCCCTCCTTCCATTTAAATTTTCTTTAAATGCCCATTTTCTCTCTCTGACTTGGTAAAATCCCAGCTGTTGATTTTCACGTTCTAAGGGAACTGGATGGTGTCACTTGGACCTAGTGTTCCACCCAACCCACCACGCTTATCCCTTTTTCACTTTCTTACAAAACCCAGATTTGTTTTCTCTCTCCTAAAGAGATAAACTAACCAAACTGCTTTCTTACATCAAAGTTACATTATGAATGTCAAAGAACCAATTCTACGCAATGATAGACAATATTGCTCTGATTGAATTCACACTGGCAGGCCACATGCTGGCTTTAGTACTTTCCCTTCTAAGTGGGGAGAGCAGTGCAGTGCTACCACCATTATATTTTAATATGCAGGCTACCTACCTTGAGTTACCAGAAGACAAATGGACATTTATGACACTTTCAGGGACAATATGGTACAAGATGCTGGTTCTTTTCATGAGTTTGTTTCCATCTTCTCCTCTTCCCCCACCCCCAGTGTTTAATATCATCTGTTCATATAAATGAACGCGTAAATTTTCTACCAGCTGCACAAATCCCTTTGGTTTTCTAGTTCTTATGTTCAGAGTATTTATGTAGAGTTAAACTTTGAAGCCTATTCAGTCATTTATTCAATACCTACCATATGCCCGGCACTGGGCTGGAGCCAGGTGGCGAGCATAGGAAAGGTATAGAGGCATTCTCTCTCCATATACTGCTTACACCGAAGAAACTTATGTAAACACACACACACACAAACTAGAGAGTAACACAAAAGGTTTTACAGGTGACCAATTAAGTAAAGAGAAGACATGCAGACCCCAAAATTTAACTGTGCAAATCAATGTCCTTCCTTCAGAGTGAGGACTATACCTTTTTCTTTCGAAAATAATGCAATTGCCCTGTGTATTTGAGGGCTACCTTTTTTTGGAGATGAGATGCACAAACTACCAAGTAGCTTTTTGGTCACTTATCATTTTAGCTTTACAGTGCTTTTTTTTTTTTTTTTTGCGGTACGCGGGCCTCTCACCGCTGTGGCCTCTCCCGTTGCGGAGCACGGGCTCCAGACGTGCAGGCCCAGCGGCCATGGCTCACGGGCCCAGCCGTTCCGCGGCATGTGGGACCCTCCCGGACCGGGGCACGAACCCGCATCGGCAGGCGGACTCCCAACACCACTGCGCCACCAGGGAAACCCTACAGTGCTTTTATTCAACATGATCCTTCTCCTTCTTTACCTGTTTGGAAAGATATCAAACTCTTTTAAAAAATCAAATATGCTCTGTAACAAATATAGATGGGTCGTAATTCTTTTTCAATATTCAGAGGAATGTGGTGAAGGCAGTTTTAAAATGATTTAAAACATCAATGGTATTAATGCCTAGAGACAAAATCCATTTTCAGTGCAAGTCCCAGTAGTTTTGTTAAATAAAATTGGACACAATATTTGTATTAAATATCAAATAGTCTAATAGGAAATTAAAGTTCTTGGTAACTTAGGCCCCAACTAAGCACATATATTCTGTGGGTCTGAGTTAGATGAAAAATCTCATAATAAGGAGTATCATGCAGTGCCCTTGCACCCTGCTTCCACCCCAGCCCTAGGATGCTAACCTGCCTAGGCCAGAGGAAATTACCCCAAAACAGTGGAAGGAAGGTTGATAACTACTATGGCATTTCCTACTTTTCACTTCTGGGCCCGGCTGTCAGTACAGATCATCAAAATCATGACCCAAACACGTTCAGACATCATCTCAGACCTCCAGCAGCAAGAGTGACAAGCCTTATGCTGGAACAGACCAACGCAGTTGACACTCTTGAAATCATCATCTTTTAAAGGTGTCAAGAAATGATCACTTCTCCCTCTTACAGTAAGTCCTTACATCTGTGTCCTGGCCTCTACTATTTGTCCAGGTGTGCCCAGGAAAACCATGAAGGTTACAACATGTGCTCTGGTTTATCTTCAATACCCCATTACCCACCTTTAAGTTGTCTGGCAGTCGATGTATATAGGTGATACGTTTTGTTGGGTTTACTGGTTTTCCTGGTGCAGTTTAGATGAGCTTCAGCTATTCCTTGGTCAAACAAACATTTTCAGATGCATCAGAACCCATTATGCTTGTGGTCTTTTGCTAGTTGGTGCCTTTGAATAAGATACACTGTTGACAGTGGTCTTGGACGCCATCAGTGGATGTTTGCTGCAACAGAGAATTGTAAGGAAAAGAAAAAGTTTCCAACACAAGCGTCTGATATCCCAAATGTAAAGTAATAATGGAAAATTGTAGCATTTTCAGAGCATCGTACATTTTACAAACTTTCATCTGCCAGCTCGTTTAGTTCTTACAACAGCCTTAGGTATCATTGCTCTTGTTTTACTGGTGGAAACTGAGGCCCAGAGAGATCGTAGTGATTTGCTGGTTGTCACGCGGCTGGTAGGTGACAGCGCCTGGTGCAGAACTAAGATTCTCCGAACACGGGGGCAGTGTTCTTCCTTCCTCCCACAGCTGAAGGAGTTGGAGTCCTTGCTGTTCTCTAAGTTGCCTGCATGGCCTTGGAGGAGTAGGCTGGAAGGGGTTAACATCATTGCGCACAAATGTCTCTAACCGCTCTAACATTCATTTTTGCTAGTCTTTCAAGTCTACCAGGTTTGAGCACATGAGATTAAAGAAAAGACGTAATTCAGATTTGCAGGAATCCCTATCCCTGAACACCTTGAGGAACCAGGGCTTGGATTACGTCTTAGAATTTTTAAAGTGCTGATGCTATTTAACCCAACCTCATTTCTGTGAAGACACTGTCTCATCTGTCAACACCAGTTTCCCGGCAGACAGGCCCGGTTGGTCTCCCCAAGGTCCTCCCCATGAATGTTAGAGGGTGCTGATGCTGGCACAAAGCAAGGCTTCTATCCGGGCATGAAGAAGCTTCCTCTGAGAAAGGGGGTGATCAGTGTGGATACAAGTAAGTGGGGAGCTTTCCCGAACATGTGACCTCTGAGATGTAGAGCAGAAGTTGGGTGAAATCTGGATGGGGAGGTAGTAAAGGCTGAGGCATGGAGAGGGTATGTGGGAGTGGCTAAGAGCCAGGCCTTACCATCTGTGTGATCTTGTGACCGTGCCCCACTCTCCTCATCTGTAGAATGGGGATGGGGGATGGTAACAGTACCTACTTCACGTGGCTGATGTGAGGATTAAATAGCAATCCGGGTAAAGTCCTAACCTGGCAAGTAATTACTCAGGAAAAGCAAGCTAGTAGCTACTAATAGGGAGAATAGGAATCCCAGGAACAGTTGGAGAATCTTGATAAGCTGGGTTGGATGGGCCTTGGCTGACAGAGGAAAACCCTGCTGCTTCAAGAGTGGGTGAAATAAATAGCTATGGTATAACCGTATGTGAGAATGTGTGAAGAACATGTTTTCCTGCAGGCTCCTCCCTTTAATAGATAGTAAAGGGCAGTAATAGCTGATGTCATAGGTAGCAAATTTGACATTTTTTCATTTGCCTTTTGTAATGAATTATTCCAGATTGAATTATGTTTACCACCATCGTTCCATCTGAATATGCCTGTTAATGTATAATATCCTAAGGGCTGCCCGGGATGGGGTTAGCAGTAACTAACTGCAGTAGGGTTCTAATTTGCCATTTATGCCCGCCGCCAGCATCCTTAGCTTCCTTGGATTTTCTGGGCTCAAGTGATTCTTCTAAAAGAAAATGGCAGCCCCATTTACATTTGAACAAATCAGGTGTTCACTTTTGGGTATATACCTAAATATACTTGGGTTGGAAATATGTGTTGTTATATCTCCTTATCTTCCTGAATCATCCTAAAGCAGCCTGGTACTTGATAGCTAGTGGGGTATAGTGTAGTGACATAATGGCCGACCTGCCACTTCAGGCTGGATTTATGCTTCATAAGCTAAAATGGTTCTTAACTATTTTTGTTGCCATGTTAGATAGCTATTTATATTTAATGCTTTTATCATAAGAAAACACTGTGTAAAAAGGTACATTTTAACAGAATTTCATAAGCTTCTACACTAGAGGTAATAACCAGAATACTGAAAATAATACTGTCACTTTCACTTGCATTTTAAATCAGATTTATAGCTTTCTTTTATTTATAACTTGGTTCTAGACTGAAAGCAAAATCACCATCTTGTTATTTCTTATTCAAAGGTTGGAAGAAAAGAGTACCACGTGAAATGATTTTGTATGAAAAGATCACAGGATTTGGCAGCAAAGGTCTGGATTAAAACCTTGGCCTTGCCGTTAATTAGCTGTGACTTTGAATAAGTCACCTAATCTTTGGCTCATTAGTGAAATGGGATAATATTGATACTATAATTGTATTACTGTGACCTGTAACAGTGCCCCGCTCTTGCGACTCGCAGCCTGGACTTATCATGACCCAGGTCTGTTCTGCTTTTAAAATCTTAAATATGCAGCATCCCAATCTCAGAACACAGTCTTTGACTCTCCTGTTTATACTCCCTCACACCCTGCACACCTGCTCTTTATGAATAAACCCTCTGGTCCCTTCTGTCAGTCTTGAAACTTTAATAACTTGTCTATCCAGCCTTGGGCCCCATGATTCCTTATTTTAATCATTGTAAGCCAATATGTGCCATCTCCTGTGCCCTTTGTCTTCCCGAATATCCACCTTGCAGACACCTTACCTTAGATCAGTCCAACCATTTGCTTCCTTTTTCTGCATTTGGGCTGCACGACACAACTCAGGGAAAAGCACAAAACCCAACCCCAGTGGCACTCGGTACTACTTAATCGTCTATGGTACTTACCTACTCAGTTCCTTCTCCTGTTCCTGGAAGAACTACTCCAAAACTTTTCCTCTCCTCCCTTCTACTGCCCCTGGCTTCAGTACTCTCTGCAGGTGCCCTTCCTGCCTGCCTCTTGGAGAAAGTAGAACCAGTGGACAGGTATCCCACAATGCTTCTCTCTCCCTCCACCAGCTCATCTTTGCCCACCTACATTCTTACCTTCTTCCATCCTGTCTTGGTGCAAGACCTTTCCCTTCTTCTGTTCAAGACTGGTCCTCCTGCATGGGTGTAGGCTCCCTTCTCCTGTTTCTGGGGCCTCGCTCCTCTCAGCACAGACTTCTTCAGTGAGACCTCAGTATCAGTGTCTATCTCTTGCCAAACTGAGCCAACATTTTTCTACCTTCTTTGTCTCCCCTCGGTCACCTCCCATTTTTTCCCTTCCCTATGTTTAATCTGGCTTCTGTCTCTGCCTTATAATTCCTGCTTTTACCCCAGAGGCCTCATCATTGCCAGATTGAATGAGCCCTTTTCAGTCCTTATTTCACACGGTCTCCTGTAGCATCCAGTTCTGACTATACCCTCCTTTTAGAAACTCACCACACCCTCCTTTCTGAAATTTTCTCGTTCCTTAACTTCCTTTGACATTGCAACTTTCTCTTTTCTCAGCCTCTGGTTATTTTTTCTTAGTGTCCTTTTGTGAGTTCTTCTGTCTCAGTAAGATCAGCTCAACCCCCTGAAGCTTAGCCTCCTCTTTGGCTGCCTAGTGGGCACACGAGTCTGGTGTTCATCAAGCCCCTGAAACCTTGTATGTTTCAGACTGAAGTCACCGCCTCCCCTCTTCATGTTTTCCTGTGAGTCTTCTGTCTCAGGGAGTGGTACCCTGACCCATCCAGATTCACACCCCAGAAATGTCAGCTCCTTCCTGTATAAAAGTCCTGTTGATTCTACTTCTTATTTACCCCTTGGATCCATTCTCTTCTCTCTGCCACAGACTTTGTTTCAGATCCCGACTGGTTTAATAGTCTCCAAATCATGGTAGAGGATGGATGAACTGAGTGCTGGAGCTGATGGTGGTGAGTGACGAGGTGAGGATGGAGTGTGGAAGACAGTGACAGTGTGTCCTTTCTGGAATCCAATCTGATCCTGTGACTCCCAGCATAAACCCTTTAATGTCATACTGTTTAGTGTGGCATGGGAAGTTCTTCTTGACTGGGACCCTGTCTATTTCTCCAACCGTATTTCCTGCTGTTTTCCATACACATACATTGTCACAGGCATACACAGATTCTGGCTCTTCCTAATACTTTGACCAATACCTGTGTTCAGTGCCTTAAATGTCCTTCCCTGTCTTTCTCCTGATCTGGTCCCTTCGATCATTTAGGACTGAATTAAAGTCTTAACTTTGCTACCATTTCTGTCCAGCCCAATCTGTGTTGGCTGCTCTGGCTCTGATTCTGTGAAATATTTGGGCATCTGTCCATCATAATATCAGCTTCTCAAGCTGAGAGTTTCTGAAAACTCCATTTTGATAAATCATAGCTGAAAACCCCAAATTTTGAGAGAGTAACTAGTCCTAGAAAGACTAAGGTTGCAAGTAAACTCCTGAAAGCCCTGTGAAATATTTTTTGGTTATTAAATGAAGCAATAAAGAAAATGGAGTAAGTGAAATGACCATCAATGAGAAGCTACATATCTTAAATAATAGATATTTTGGACAAGGTGTGTAACTTCTTTGTATCTTAGTTTCCTCGTCTGTAAAATGAGGATAATACTAATACCTACCTCATAGTGGGTCATGATGAGTTAAGATATGTAAAAGGCTTAAAACAGTGCTTGACATAGTAAGCACTAAGTAGGTATTAGCTATGAATGATACTTTTCACTTACCATCTATGATGACCACATACTGTTTATTATTTCCAGCCCCCGTATTTTTACTGATGTAATTAGAATCTGTCTTGTTTTGAAGTGTGAATATGAAGACACATTTTCTTTTTTGTTGTTTTGTTTTTTTTTAATTTAATTTCTTTATTTTTTATACAGCAGGTTCTTATTAGTTATCTGTTTTATACATATTAGTGTCTATATGTCAATCCCAATCTCCCAATTCATCCCACCCCACCCCCACCCCCCCGCTGTTTCCCCCTTGGTGTCCATACGTTTGTTCTCTACGTCTGTGTCTCTATTTCCGCCTTGCAAACCGGTTCATCTGTACCATTTTTCTTGATTCCACATATATGTGTTAATATACGCTATTTGTTTTTCTCTTTCTGACTTACTTCACTCTGTATGACAGTCTCTAGGTCCATCCACGTCTCAACAAATGACCCAATTTCGTTCCTTTTTAATGGCTGAGTAATATTCCATTGTATATGTGTGCCACATCTTCTTTATCCATTCGTCTGTCGATGGGCATTTAGGTTGCTTCCATGACCTGGCTATTGCAAATAGTGCTGCAGTGAACATTGGAGCGCATGTGTCTTTTTGAATTATGGTTTTCTCTGGGTATATGCCCAGTAGTGGGATTGCTGGGTCATATGGTAATTGTACTTTTAGTTCTTTAAGGAACCTCCATACTGTTCTCCATAGTGGCTGTATCAATGTACATTCCCACCAACAGTGCAAGAGGGCTCCCTTTTCTCCACATCCTCTCCAGCATTTGTTGTTTGTAGATTTTCTGATGATGCCCATCCTAACTGGTGTGAGGTGATACCTCATTGTAGTTTTGATTTGCATTTCTCTAATGATTAGTGATGTTGAGCATCCTTTCATGTGTTTGTTGGCAATCTGTATGTCTTCTTTGGAGAAATGTCTATTTAGGTCTTCTGCCCATTTTTTGATTGGGTTGTTTGTTTTTTTAATATTGAGCTGCATGAGCTGTTTATATATTTTGGAGATTAATCCTTTGTCCGTTTATTGGTTTGCAGTATTTTCTCCCATTCTGAGGGTTGTCTTTTCGTCTTGTTTATAGTTTCCTTTGCTGTGCAAAAGCTTTTAAGTTTCATTAGGTCCTATTTGTTTGTTTTTGTTTTTATTTCCATTACTCTAGGAGGTGGGTCAAAAAAGATCTTTCTGTGATTTATGTCAAAGAGTGTTCTTCTTATGTTTTCCTCTAAGAGTTTTATAGTGTCTGGTCTTACATTTAGGGAAGACACATTTTCTTTGACTGCTTCTCCAATTCAAGTGTTCAGTGGCATCTAATTTATTACTCACAGTTGTGGAGTCATCTTACTTTCCACTGTTGTCTCAAACAAGTACCTTTTTATCTGACTTGGGAAGAGTTTGGGTGATGTTTATCTAAGCAAGTCCAGCTCAGAGTATCCTAGTATGCATTTCTCAACTCCCTCAGGGCTCAGGATTTGCTCTGTCCCGTGACATCCAGAATGTGGCAGAATCTGATCTGGGTTCATTACTCTCTTCTGCAACGTTCTCTCTCTTTCCCTGCCTCCCTCCCTCCCTCTCCCTTTCCCTTGCCTTCTCTCTCTCATTCACACTCTTTGCCATCTGCCTGAAGTTCCACTCTCCCGTTTCCCTTGCCTTTACTTCCTTTATGGTTTCAAGACAGCCCTATACAAACACCTACTTCTGCTTCTTTTCTACTCCCCACCTCCAATTCTCTTTTTCTTACCATTTCCCACAGGACTTGATGTTCGTTTCCTTAAATTAAAATATTCACAATATTAAAAATGTATAATATAGGAAAGCTGTGACTTTAAATTCCATGAGGGCAAGAAATAGCATTTTATTCATATTTGTATTAGTAGTTATTCAGAGGAAAGTTATCAACAGCAAATGAGATGATCTATGGGAAAGAAATGTATAAATTGTAAAAAACAAATCACTGTACAGATTTTTAACACCTAATCTGGGCTTTCCCTTTTCCATTATGGAGTACTATAACACCATCATAGTAAAATCCTGAGGATCTAATTCTGTTTTTGTAAAAGTATCTTAAAAAGATGTCCCAACCTCCCTAGGTAACTCTGACCCTTTCATCAAGTCTACTTTATAAGAAAATTTAAAATTTTAAATTATGAGTTAAATTTATTGTTTCTTTTATTTTTCATATAAAAGGTGATCCACTGTTCTAGTGACATTCATATAGTTGATGCCTGTTACTATATATTTTTCTCAGCCTGTTCCTTAGCCTGTGATATCATGAATGTGTTGACACCTTCCTCCAAATCATTCAGATCACTCTCACAGGAACTTCTAACTTCTTTAACTTCAATTTAGGTTGTGGAGTTAGTATTAATTACATATTTACCTAAGTGCAGTGTCGAAGAGTAAAGGTCTAAGGTCTTTGTTTTTTTTGTTTTTTTTTTGCGTTACACTGGCCTCTCACTGCTGTAGCCTCTCCTGTTGCGGAGCGCAGGCTCAGCGGCCACGGCTCACGGGCCCAGCCGCTCCGCGGCATGTGGGATCTTCCCGGACCAGGGCACGAACCCGCGTCCCCTGCATCGGCAGGCGGACTGTCAACCACTGCGCCACCAGGGAAGCCCCTAAGGTCTTTGTTTTATAGAACCCAAATCCCTACACTGCTGGCTCCTTTGTACACGATGGAGGTTGACGTTTCAACAGATCTGAATTCCTGTTTCCTCTTATTCCAACTTCTTTTTTCCAAATCATTTGCTTTAATACTGTATTTCCTAAGAGTATCTGAGAATATTGGTAATCCAGAAAGAAATTTTTCATAAATAATTAATGGTGCAGTTAAGTGCAAAATAGTTAACAAACTTATACAGATCTTTCTAAGTAGCTTCCTTGCTCCTTTTTCATAATCTCATAGTACTTTCAGGTCTCTTGTTGAAGTATAGTCAAGTTCCTATGATATATATAGAGAGAACCAGTAAATTGTTGTTATCTTACTGCCATTGAATTAATTTTTCAAGTAATTAATCAAATTTCAATTTGATTGAAATATATCAAATAGAGGTGTGTTGATTAATAAAATACAATCATAAAGTTCATTTCCATCTGACCTTTGTAACACATAGGCCGGTAGATTAAATTTCAAATTGAAAAACATGATATTTTCTTAATAGCATCTTCCTCTAAAACTGTGGCAGAAATAATATGTGACCAGACTGGAGAGTGATTCTGTACTGGCAAATATAAACTGAAATGCAGGAAATTCCTTGCTGTCATTTATCAAACTGTTTGAGAAAAGTTTTGTTTTTTCAGGATAAGTGAATATATTTGAGAATGTATTATAATGTTGACTATTTGAGTAAAAACAGTCTTTGATGAGAATAGTATAGCACTAAGCACAAAGTTAAAATTGTATCATGGCCTTTAAAAGACAGCCTCTCTTGTGCTTCCCTGGTGGCACAGTGGTTAATAGTCTGCCTGCCAATGCAGGGGACACGGGTTTGAGCCCTGGTCTGGGAAGATCCCACATGCCGCAGAGCAAGTGGGCCCGTGTGTCACAACTACTGAGCCCGCGTGCTGCAACTACTGAAGCCCACGCGCCTAGAGCCTATGCTTCGCAACAAGAGAAGTCACCTCAGTGAGAAGCCCGCATGCAGCAACAAAGACCCAACTCAGCCAAAAAAAAAAAAAAAAAAGACAGCCTTTCTAAAATCTCAATCCTCTTCAATTTTTTTCTGCAGTAGGGTTGTCCTTGGAGGACCTTGCAAAATAAATTAGAAAAGAATATTCTGGATCTAATAAAAACAGTTCTCTCTCAATGAGATAAGGTGGATTTCTTTCCTGCTATTTTTCTTTAAGGTAATTATTGCGTCTTGTAAGGACCACATATATTAGAGATTTTCTTTTTAATGGTGTCTTCACCAAAATAAGATGCCATGACTTGAGGTAGCCTCTGAAAGTGAAACAAACAGGAAAAAAACCCATATTTTTATAAATCTTCTTTTAGGAGTAAACTCTATTAAAATGAACTTAAATTAGTGCAAGAAATTTTAATAATTGTGATTATTATGACTCAGACACTCAGAGACTGACACAGCACTTTATATATATAACAGGTGCTCAGTAAGTAGTCTGTGAATTTAAATTTTAATTACAGGCTGCCATGTTGTTCAACTCCAGGAAATTTCCATTTATATAGAAAAGAATGGGATTGGTGTTTCTTGGAGTTGTGTAACAATGTGGCTTGTGACTAGGGTAAGAAGGTTTTTTAAAAAACTTATTATAATTATTATGCCCATTTTTTGTGAAATTAGATTTCCTTTATAAGACCTTTCTTTGTAAAAACTTGACCACATTCCAATGTGTGCTGAAATCCATTTCCATTTATAGAAGTGAGGTTTTTTGGAAAGTTTTTTATGGTCTTATTTTGCTTAATAAGGGAATCTTGTACTGATTGTATTTGTGATACGTCGTGAGCCCCTGAACAGAAATTGTCAAGGTTAGACAACTCTATTGGACGTTATCATGAACAACACAATGAAATGTTGACTCAGTCAGTTGAGTCATAAGAACTCACTCTATGTGGTTGCTCTTGTTTGCATTTTTGTCCTATAAAACAGGCATAGCAAGTATTTCTCTTTCCCTTCTTTATAAAATGCATGAAAAGTTAAAAGAGATTTGCCTAGAGCCTTATTGAAAAATTGGAAACTGATCAAATTCTGAATAGAATGTATGTACTGTTACCCTTCAGCTCCACTGCATTTACTATCTTCCGAGGATTTTTCGTCGATTTTGAGTTTGTTTTCTAAAAGGTATTTTTCTCAAAGAGAAAAAGTAAATATTAAAACATATAGAAACAGAAATATAATGTTTTAAAAAGTGTAATTCAAGCCTTTTAAGCATAGTATGTACAGTTCTTATGTAGTTTTCAATGGTCGCATCTGTAAATTGTTGAATGTCCATCAATGATTAATAAATTAATACATTGTATTATTACTGGCATTAAAATACTATCATTTAATGGTTTGCTAAATCTAAGACAGATTTTTCTGGTTAGGAGATCTTGAGATGTCATAAGTCACACTTTAATAATGAAAACTATCAGTTCAGTTATTTGCTTAAATGAGCACCATTTTGATTTTCTTACCACCCTTACTGAAGACAGAAGCCATGGATGAAATAAATCATTAATGTTGCAAATGCAAGACTGCTGG